ATTAAGTGGCTTTGGTGATATGAGCTGCTTGTAAGGACAAACATAACCGCTTGCCATCAAACCTCTTGTGGAATTAAAGTTCAACTTTGTGATAAGGCGATTAAAGTTGTATTTACACAGCAGTTTGGCAAAGAAAAACACCTTCTCACTTCATGGATTAATTTTCAGAACATGCAGTCTGGTTAATCTGGAGCTCTTTTGCTTTTCTATGCTACTCTTATGGGCTGATCCAACTCCTTTTTAAGTCAAAGATTCTTACCTCAGCAGGAGTCAGATTGGTCTCAAATTTGTTTGATGAAAGAGTGAGACATATGAGCATATATGCATTTGTGTACAGTCTCCATCCCAGGACCATCCTCACCAGGCCTTGCTGGGCGAGCCTGCTTTTCAGTCTTGTGCTCTCTCCCCCCCAGCTCAGATAAATAAGATGGACACGTTGTATGCTCCTGTCTGCTAACCAAAAGGCAAACGCAAGAAACAGCTTTGATTTTCTTGGTCCTTCTAATATCAGAGAACAAAAAAAGCTTTATTTTCTTTAGTTTATTTTTGCCAACTAAAAGCTGGAGGATCTTGATGGTACTACTGGCGTAACTCCTTGAGTAACTGCTACATCTGCAGAAAGACTTTAGCAGACAGACATCACCTATTCCTAGTGACTGTTATTCTACCTTTTCTTTTTACTTCTCCAAGTCACAGAATCATGCAGTATTAAATGCATCTGGAGTGCAGACTCTTTGCTCAGTGACCCACTGAAAATATCCCCTTCCTCTTTTTGCCTAATATTTAATTTAGGCAAACTTGCCCCACTCCCTAAACAAAAGCAAACTCATAAATCTTTGCATTCTTAACCTTTTCCTCCTTAAACCACAGTTGAGCAGGAAAGTGCATCACAGCTTCTTAAAAACCAAGTGCTGTTAAAGGTTAGTAACATAACTGTTTACAGCCCTGTGATGAACAAAATTATCAAGGCCACATCTAAAATAACTCTCCATTTATGGTTCATTCTGGGAAGCAATGGCTGTAGAACAATGAGCTTGTTTTGTAAGCCTTTGTTGCTTTTTTCTTCCAGAGACAGAGAGTTCAGAGAAAATGTATAATGTCCGAACTGTATATTCCCCAGGGGAGGAATTATCATGAGATTTGCAACTCTCACATTCTTGCTGCTTAGTAAATAATATATAATAATTGTAAAATATAGAGCCAGAAGAGGACTCTATTCTAGGAGTGATCCTGTTGAAATTAACAGGGCTACTCACAATAAATTGTATTTCTCAAGAGAAGCATAACAGCCAGGATCTGCCCCCTGGGCAACAGTGGTGGTGGCAAGGGCTGGGTTGGCTATGGCCGATCCAGCATTTGGGCAGGCAGTGATGCCAGCTTCAGTTCTTTCGGCCACTCTAAGTGGGAGTCCAGGGCTGGTGCCCTGGTCACCCACCGTTTGTTACTCTGCTGTTTCTCAACATGGGTAAAGCGGCAGAACTTGATCCACAGTTAGTTATATGTACCTCCAGATTTAAAAACAGAAATGGTACTTTTTTCCACCCTTAATTCATCTTCTTTATGAAATTATTAAAAGTCTTATGGTCAGCACTCCTCGGTTTAGTGCACATGCTGGGCCCAAACCTATTCCTTTTACTAAAGCAGGTAAAACCACTGACTTTGAGAGAGCTTCTCATGTGAAGAAATCAGGATTTGGCCCTGTATCCTGATATTTTCACAAATACACAACATTGTTCATGCATGCATCCTATATTAGTAACTGCTCAAAAATTTTAGCCCCCAGTGCCAGGACAACCTCAGCAAACAGGAACCTGTCCTGCCCAGCAAAAAAAGAAAGCCATACCAAAATCTCTCTCACTACACAAATCAGAAGGTACTATAGAATGCAAACACTGACAATTAATAGTATATGTGGAGCCAGACAACTCCATTTACTATATGGTAGAAATTAAATGATTATATTATCAGCGAGTACAAGCCACTGACTAATTATACTGCTAAATAACCAAATATTTTTGTTGTGTATGAGAAAAATAATAGCTATTGTCTTGAAAATTGTTCAAGGCTAACACCATCATGCAGCAAGAGAAGCACCCAGAGAGACAATATCACTGAGGCAAGTTCTCTTTTGACTGCAAATCTATTTTTCCCTTGTATACAAGAGAAAGTGGCTACAGTACTGCAGTGTACTGGAAAATTATACCCAGTTTTTCCAGGGGATTCCCTATGGTTTATCAACAGGAATCACAATGCTCATTGTACCACAATTGTCTTTGACGAAGCAAATACAGCAGTAGAGTAATACAGAAAGATGCATGTGCTGTGCTGATAGGTGAATATTATTGGGGTTCATCTCAACCTGGTGCTCAGCCACTGAGAAAGTCAAAGATCCCACAGATTTTGCTTTCCAATTCAGACTCCAAATCAGGGGACCATTCAGAGTTTCTCCTCCAAAAGAAGCTTCATGTGTCTCAACAGTGTTTGACAGAAGTCTGCACGCTTTCCCTGTGACCTCCTGCATGCTGTATACCCTTGCTTGTGTTTGAGTGTGTAACTATGCTTATGCTTTCTTGGTTAAGACAGGCTGAGCATTGCATGGTTTTAAAGGGATTTACAGCAGAATTTCACAGAGTTTTTCTCTCCTGCCTTGCGGCCTCAAGGCTGTAGTGTCTCATGCTAAAATGCACACAGAACAATTTGTGCTGCATTTCAAACCATTCATTCATCCTATTTTCCACAAAACAACCTTGTGCTCCAGGAAATCCTGGCCTCCGTCCTTTCTCAGTGAAGTCAAACTCAGGGGCTGATTTTGCTCGTTTTTAAATCAATAGGCCTTTTTGCTATTGCTGCCCATGGGAGTAAGAGTATACATTTTTGTCCCAGAAAATAAAAGGACGGTGTTCCCAAGCAGTAGCAAGCAATTAAGAGCGTCTCTCAGAAGGACAATCCACCACTCAGGACACTGCAAAAACACCTGGAAGACATACATTTGCTCTAGATTATTTCAATACATGCAGGGAATATTAGGATTCCCTGCTATTTCCTTCACTTTGCGATGCTTGGTTCCACTGTTGTGCATTTAGGTGTTTACATTATTTTTCCCTAGGTAGAGCTATGCTACCCTGCAGGCCTGATATGAAGAGCTTCCGATAAATGTATTTTAAGTCTGATTAGGTTGCTTGCGTGATCCTAATATACTTGAGTATTTCAGCCTTTTGGGCATGATATAACTATAAATGCTTAGGCTCTGAATCAGAGAGCTATATCAGTCCTGCTACTTGCCAGATTCCTCAGCCTAGCAGGACCAGATCCCCTTTCAAACGATGGTTGTAAAAAGTACTTCTGCTTTTTTGTTCCTTTTCTTCCCCCTTTTCCCTGTGATCTGCACTGGATGTTCCTCTGTTTGTCCCTGACATAGTCTATTATTAACCCTTGATGATTCCGACTGACTGTAACTCATTATACTTTCTCCAGATGTGTGATCAGGGGGCAGCTTTGGTAAGTGAAGTTAAACCCAAACAGACACAGGAAAAAGGGTTGGAAGCCTGGGCCTGCTTTTTCCCCCAGTTATTTGCTTATATAATATTTAAAAGATTAAAGGCAAATCCAGATCCTAGTCCAGAAAATGAGCCTCGGGCAGAGCAAAGGAGCCTGTTATTGAAACTGAGTGACTGAAAAGCTCAGGACCGAACATGTCTCAGGTTAAAGAAACCGTAACATGTACTGAATTGTATTTACTTGTACAAGCAGTATGGCAAAGGCAGATCCAGGGCTCTGGAAAGAGGGGTGCTAATGAACTCAAAAGACTATGCTGCATTTTCTTTAATGTTTCCGCCCTATCGTCCATAAGAATGAGGTTAAACATGACACCAATGTTACTGTCTCATGTTAACATTGTCAGGTGCATATCGTAAACCTGAGACAGCATTATGCTCCTTCTAATTCTTAGAACTCCATCCTCAGTAGGCATTCTCCACCTAAAATGACTGATTTAAAAGATCCCCATAAAGTCCCCAGTGCACTTTTTTTCTACCTTTAGTCAAAAAGCAAGTTCCAGATTCTGCTGTTTGCTTCCTGTGGGTTGCAAAGGCCAGCCTAAACTCATTTTAAGCACAATAAATTATGTTAAATCTTCCATCTCATGAGCATACCAATAATATTATACCTGTAATGAACTATGTGACACACCATAACAGAACTCTGGAGGAGCCAGGAGTGGGGAAACACCACCATTCTACCTCATTACTATGTTACTATTAGCAGTGGAAACAAACATTGACAAACATAGCCTAAGGAGCTGCAGGAAATCTCCTCACCTGGTAGATCATGACTTTGAAGTTCCTTCGCTTCAACAGCTCTGCTTCATTGACCTCCAGCTTCTTGATCTGCCCAGCTTGCTTCTCCAGGTTCTGCCGGACGGTTTTCACATTGACGCTCACCTTTCGCACTTTTTCAAGCATCTTGTTCACAGTGTTGCTGGTGGTGGTGTGTGCTTTTGTGAGCTTGGTCAATTCGCCTTGGATGCTGGACACTGCGCTATCCATCTCTTGCTGTCTCTCTTCCAGCTGAGCCTGGGTCATCTGGATCTGATCCACTGCCCCAATGATCTTGTCCAAAAGGGTCAGCACCATCACCCCGTTGATCTGGTCTGATTTGATCGGTTCCTCTGCTGCTTGCTCCTCAGAGGTCTCAGAGGCAGTTGGTTGTTCGATAATTTGCAAAGTGGTGTCCTCCATGATTTGCTTGGGGAGTCCTAACTAGCAGAGCCTGGAGAAACTGTTGCTGCAGAGGGGAGAGAGAGAGAGAGACCCAAATCTCACTAAGCTCTCTGTGCTGGGAGACGAGCCAGAAATGGAGAGCACAGTGTGTGGATATGTGTGTGCTTAAATTCAAATGGCACAGCTCTGCAAAGCTGTCCAGTAAAACTGCCCTGCAAAATTTTCCAGGCTTGTAGGCCATTGGCTGACTCCACCTCAGCTATATAAAAGGAGCCCGCTGCCAAATGCCTCATGACCCACCCTTTCTGAAATGATTAAAATAGTTGGAGGGGAGGCAATGGCTTTTGCATGCGAGCACAGGCACTGCTCACTGAGGAATGTGAAGCTCTGAACAGCCTCTTCTTTACCATAAGTTTAAAGGCATTCTGAACAAAGCTCCAAAGAATCTGAGAGGAAAAAACAAAACCCTTTGTGTAAACTGCTAGGGAAGCTGGTGGAAAGAAATAATCTCCTTCTGGGCATAGCTTTTTGTGATGAAGGGAGGCTGGTTTTGAAACAACTGTGCACAGACATGCAGGAACTCAGCCTGGAAAACTCAGAAACTTTTGCCTCCAGTTAGCATTTTTTTCCAGGTCTGTATGGGGCTGATTGTCAACATTTTAAAGAGAGGCTTATCTTCTGAATCACAAGTTCGTGGCACATACCTTTTGGACTGTTCACGCTACAGATCTGCACGGACCCATATAGGAGAATATTTGTGAAGGCAGACATACATGTATGGATTTACACAGGCAAGATAACATGTTACATGTGTGTTTGTGCTTATATCTGTCTGCAGATCTGACATAAATAGGATAAATAAACTCGGCAGCATAAAGTGAAACGGCTAATGGTCCCATCTGAGAGCTTCCCCCTGTTCACCAATAAAGTCCAGGTTTTTTAACTATATTTAGTAATAAATCCCAAATGATCAAACAACAGATTGGACATTTAAAGATGCATTCAATCCCCTAAAATTATATGTGAAGTCAGAAATTTATCTTCTGTCAAGAGTGCTCCAATAACCCAAGTCAAAGTCCACAGGAGTCATCTGTTCTTTTCTTCTCTTCCTTTCAGTATCTGAAAGTTTCTTCAGGTTTCCTCCAATGTTAATTGTGTTTCTTCACTTTTATATAATAATTCACTATTTATTTTTTCTTAGAATTCTTCATAACACAACTCTCACTATCTTCTACTCATGTCTACTTTTAAATTTTAAGGTTGTTCCAAATTTGTTCTTAATTGTTAGCTGATAGAACTTACACTTCCCTGCAATAGTCAAAAAAGTTTGTCTAACTTTGGTTTGGAAGGAGACAAAATGCAATTATTAGCATTCTTTGTGCAGAAGGCACTTCAACCTATGCCATAGAAAAAGATGCTGTATGCAATACCCAATGGCATTACATTACTTAATGCTGATTATTGGCAGTAGTAGATTATTTCAACACTGGTATCATGCTCATTGTGCAGAACACAAAGAAGAAAACCCTCCCTGCTCTTTAAGTTCTCAAGCTAAATATTAATAGACCAACTCACAGGTTCTTGTAGATCCTTAAAAGACTGCTAGTCTAGGAGATCAGTACCAACCTACTGCTCCAGTGAGATAATTTTGGTAGGACCTTTATGAGGCATCATTGAAGAACACCTGTCCCAGCCCAACAAGCCTAAGAACCTGAATGGATTGATGTGGAAGTGGCAGATTGAAGGTCTGCATAGAATGAGTTCCAGATGAGACCAGCTCACCATTACTTCTTCTTGCTCATACAAAGGTAAGTGATCCCCTGCAGACACAAAAACTGTGATTAAGTTTCTACTGGCTCCTTTTATACACAGCTGAAGGATTCACTGCTGGCAGACAATCAAGCTTGCTCTCATTAAGGTTCTAAACAGTAGGGGATGCACACTCAGCATGTCGTGTCTCAGGGTGGGGGATTCTGCAGCTGAGTCTGGGGATCACCCTAGTATCTGACCATAGCTTGGCAAACAAAGCTGAATCCATGTGGTGTTCCATTTCATTATGCTTGAGACCTACCTTAAGATGGCCTTAGTTGAATTGTTGGATTCATGACATACAAACTAGGGAATCCACTGCACACAAACATTTCTATAGCAACTTTGTTCAACCCTGACCACAGTCAGAACATTCACTATCCCAGCACTCGGTGTCACATGACAGGGTGACTTGAGAAAGCTCTTGTATCCACACTATAATATCAATTTAGATTTGGTTGCCTCATACATCAGCAAATTGTAGACCACAATCCCACTGCCAACATGTCGTGTCGCCTGTCAAAAAGAATCTCCTTTATGAATTGTTTCTCAAGGGATAGGCCTTTTTATGTCTGAAAATAAAAGAAAGATTTCCCATGTTTGCAGCTGATGAGTCAGTTCCACGTAGAACATGAATTCCTGACAAGAGTGTACTGAGGCTTTTCAGTTGCTTTTCATGTTGTCTTTTTTTCAGAGCTGCCCTCTACATGGGGGTGTTGCAGCTAACATACAGCACAGGAAGTTAATTGTTTTCTTATTTTCTAGTTCTGCTATAAATTCCCTAAGTTCCTTAGACTTTGCCCCTGTGCCTCAGCTTTCCCATCTGTAATTTGGGAGTAACAACCACAACTTCACAAGGGTGTATAGTTGTAAGGCTGGCCTGAAGAAAACAAATAAATGGAATTGTATTTTTGGTCTAGCTATTTGCTAGAACAGGCTAAGTGGAATATTCTCTATGCTTGTTCTGCACATAGTGTGATGAGAAACTTTTCATGTTAAGATTCATTTGGACATGACCATGTTCTTTCTCAGTAGTGACATCCCTAGATGACCCCATAGGTGGCAACCTGAGTTCCTCCCCACTGAACATGAATGCTCTTTATCCTTTTAGCTCATATTCCACAAACTGTCTCAATCCCAGTGATTTGTTACGCTGTTAACATGTAATAGATAGAATTTGTTCTTTGAAGTTTCCATATCTCTATGAATGTTTTTGAGTCTCAATAGCCCACCTACCAGATGCATTGTATAGTACTGCTGACAGAATTCTGCATAGAAAGATGTTTATTACTTTCATGAGCAGCAGGTGCTGGCTGTTTGGGGGCCTATGTAAAATGACACGTACATCACAACTTAGCTCTTCATGTAACATGGAACAAGGAAAAGAAAAGTCCATAATTGCAATCAATATCCTTTTCTCTTTCCATTCGGTGACAGTTTAAATCAAGAGATCACATCTTGAATGTGCTGCAGAAAATGAACTGCATGCTCCTCTGTAGAGAAGCCTTCAGACAGGGAGGGTGATACATTGGGAAGGAGTGCAAAGGGAGCATTTTCCGCAGCTGCCCACGCTGTTTCCCTTCTATGGACATTACAGTTCTCTGCTGGGCTGCCTGCAGAATGGCCTACTTCAACAGCCCCAAACTCATTCTATAAGAAACTGCGGTAGCGTTCATGTGATGTTGTAGCCATCATGATCCAGGAAATATGAAAAATTATAGGATTTTTGGGGGTGATATCTTTTATTGGATCAACTGCATGGTTGTGGCAGACTCAGGCAAGCTTTTTGAATGCAGTGCTTTAGAAGAATATGTTGCAATAGAAAGCTTGTCTACATCTAGCTGAACCATGAAGTTAGTCCAATAAAAGATACCACCCACAAAAATTCTTGCCTCTGATCTATTATTTCTCATAGATCTCTTCATCTTTGCAGGTTATTCTGAAGGATAAAGCCAGCTACTTAAATAACAATGAACAACACAGTTTTGCAGCTATAATATTCCTGCCTTTTCTATAAAATGAGGTTGCTGTCTCACTAATAAGCACTGTGTTTGTTAGGATAGGCTGCTGGCATGCTGAGATCACTGCCTATTATCCTGACCGGTACTTCATCACTGTTTCCTTGTGCTTCCCATCTGCCTGTGTGTAACTGTTGTCTCTTACCTTATACTTAGATTATAAGGTTTTTGATACAGGGACTGGGTTTTTGTGTGTGTTTGTATGGCACCTGAAATAATGGGGTCCTAGCCTACTGCTGGGGCTCTAGGGAATTATGGTAATACAAGTAAATATACATATAATCTGTATCCACTACTGAGGCAAGCACACCACATCTGACTCTATAGGGAGATGTACAGTTCCTCTGTGAGATTTTAGTAAAGAAACATTGTTGTAAAAAATTAGATTAGATTGGACATATTTTCCATAGTGCAAAAGCGCTTCTGAAAGCTTTGTAATTGGAATAAAAATCAAATGTTTACGCAAAGACAGTGTCACTAGGTAGAATAACCATTCAACAGTTAAGTGTATTTTAACTAAACCCATTTTATTTGCAAGGCTTGGCTTCCTTCCCAGGAAAAACATGTTTCCATTTAACAATCTAACAGCAGAGGAAATTATGCACCCTTACTTGCAGGGAGGTTTCTTGTGCTTCATCAGCTTTCCAGTCTCTGCAAAGCTGTGGCTTGAGATTAATCTGGGTATTGGTGGATGGAACTGCCTGGCCACTGAAACATGCTTCTTACAACGCTTGGATTCAAACCAAGGGGCCTTGTTCACACCACTGCCGTTCCATGGACTTCCACAGCAGAACGTCTGTTTGATATCTGTGTAAGCGAGAAAGTATGAGGCCCAAAGGGTGTGGAACTGCTGTACAGGCTTTGCTGTGCTGCATGTCATAGGGACTAGGGCACTCCACTTAATGTATCAGTGCAACAAGTAGTCTTTAACATTTTTAAGTAATAAGACAAATATGCTCAAAGGCAATACAAGTTCTTTACTCAGGGTTTTTTGTCACTGCGGGTTGGATCTCTCTCTCGTCCCATGGCTTACATCCCGCGTGGAACCTAATGCCAAAGAAAACTAACTTCCTACCCCTCTTCTCAGCCCACCTGGCTGCGTGCGAAACACGTCACTTAAGTACTGTCTTTGTGAAAAGGTCCATTTACTGCATATAACTGGAAAACCTATTTTTTTCTGCCAGAACATTGCATCATCATTAACACATGCATCCAGCCACACGGCTTATTTTCCCCTGCATATCCCTTAAGTGATTGCTGTGGAGAACTGCCAAGTGCCGCCCGTTGCAGGCTTGTCGTATAACAATGTGCCGTGCTGGTGCAAAGCGGTAACAGAACAAAACCGGAGCGGTGTCTGACTGCAGTATTCTGAGGTAACGTGATGCCGTCTTCCCTTGATAAAGGTGAGG